TCTCTGCTCCTCTCCCTCTTCATCATCTGGACCTCTCTGCTCCTCTCTCTCTTCATCATCTGGTCCTCTCTGCTCCTCTCCCTCTTCATCATCTGGTCCTCTCTGCTTTGTGATGATTAACTCACCATGTCTGCCTGAACTAATTTTCCCAAAAAAGAAGACAATGAAATATGGTCATCAGAAATTAAAACCATCATGGTATATAGGTTTTTGTTGCCTCCCTAATGTAATTATTCCTACCTGATGTCATCACTTGTCTCCTCTATCACTGACCTCGTGTCTGTCTCCTTCACCTTTTGTCTGTGGCATTCTGCACTAAGTCATAAGGTCAAAAAAGCATTATATATTAGTTGTAAAAATGACAGATCTTAATACAGTTTTTAAAAATAATGTTTACACGTTATTGCTTGGGATTAAGTAACTGTTCCCTCACTTCCACCTGCATTAGACCAACCTGTTGCCTTCCCCAGTCTGTCCTGATTCTTCCTCTGTCATCTTCTCTTCCTTCTCTCCATCCTCACAGCTGAATGACATTAATTTTGTGTCAAGTAGGTTTAAAAATACAGCAGTCAAACCACAATAGAAATGAAACTTGAATTTAAATGATCTCCTTGTTGGATAACAGTTACTGACTGGACATTTCATCTGATCTGACTCACCAGATACATCACAACACACACCACTGTAGTGATACTGAATAAGACATTTAAACTCAAGTGTCCCTCTGCCAAAAAGGTTGGAAACATGGGTCACCAACCTTTTTGAGCTATAGTGACACTGAGGACTAATTTATCTGATACACACATAAACTTGTACAACTCATCTTTAATTAAAGAATCAATAATAATAAATGTACATATGAGTGAATAAATTGCAGCACTGAGGGCTAAGCGTTGGATCATAGCTGGGAACTGCCGCCACAACAGTTTAGCTTTCCTGTGTTAATATTTCATGAGTTTTATTTTGGTCATTCTTACACTTAGTGTGTGGATATGTGTGTGTGACAGGCGAGGCGCATGTATCAAATATTCATAAAAATACAGAAAATACTAAACAAATCACATCAATAGGGGAGGCAACATTTAACAGCCAACCGCAGTGTATTAGGCTAGCTTTAGCTAACCTGAATATTTAAACCCTCCTGTCCTGCTAATACACTGACAGTACTTACCTACTATCTTTCAACCACATTGAAAGGCTTTTTTTCATCCCGCCAACATCTTTATCCTTCTCCCTTTTCCTTTTTCTGTTTTGCGCCCCGGATAGCTTTTTTTTCTGCCGCTCCATCTTGTTGTCAAGTGCACAACGAGCGGTAGTTCAAGATTAAAAAAAAAAAAAAAAACGCGCCGAGTGCGTTCTCTTAGGGGCGTGTTCACAGCCACCTGTGTGGGAAGGGAGAGCGATAGGAGGGGAGGTGAAGGAGCAGAGGGGAGGTGAAGCAGCAGAGGGGAGGTGAAGGAGCAGAGGGGAGGTGAAGGAGCAGAGGGGAGGTGAAGGAGCAGAGGGGCGCCTAATCAGTGCTGTTCCCCTGTTATTGATCATTTAGAAAATGCCTACTAGAAAAACATTTTTTCTACAGAGGGTTTTGACGCCCCCTGCAGTGCAGCGCCCCTATGCGTTGCATACGCTGCATACCCGCTTTTTGCGCCACTGGTCACAGGTCATGATATTCTGATGATATGATAAACTTAAGCAAAAGGACCATAATTTCCCTGTATTAGAACAAACTAACAAAAAATTACAAGCGATTTGCTTCTATTTAAAAACAGCAATGTCCATACTAATGATACTGCTGCTTAAATATCGTTAATTGCCTAATATTATCATAAACATAACAGAAACTTACTACCAAATTTAATTATGTCTTTTTATTGTAATGCACAGATTAAAAAAAGAGATTGATTTTAAACAGTGACTGTCAACATGTTCACTTGTGTTCACTCTGTCAGCTTTTTCCTGCACTCAGGACCCATTTTAAAACAATACATGGTCAGTTTTTTTTGTGACGGAGCGAAGAAGGAGAATTGAAAATACCCTCCGTCTTTCTGTCTGTAGGGATTGGGCTGTTTCATGGATTTAGCCCCATCTTGTGTTGTGTTTTTTGTCTTATGACCTTCTTATCAGTTTCTGTTTTTCTATAGGGTTTGTGTTTTCCTAGTGTATGCTTCCATCTAGTGTTGTGTGTCTGTTCCTGCACTCCCTGGTTTCCTGGTTTGTCATTTTCCCTGGTGTGGTTCAGCTGTGTGTCCTCACAGGTGTTTTGTCTTGTTTGTCACTGTATATAAGTCTGTGTCTCAGTGTTAGCCCTTCATCCTGGCATTGCTTCCTGTCACCTTGGTCCTCTGTGTTTCCCACAGTTTATGTAAGTTTGCTGCCCCGTCAGCTGTTGTTTTGTTATTATTAATAAATTATTTTATTCATCTCCTGAGTCCTGGATTGTCTGCCTGCACCCCTGGATTTACCCCTCACCAACCAATATTACGACACTGTCTATGAATGTTATGAGTATAAATAGAAAATAGGTGAGGTACGGACTTCCATTCTGGTGTGCTGCTGCATCTAGGCGTAAAAAGGTCAGTCTCAAAAATTGGGTTGCCACGTCAAAATCCAAGATGGCCACCAACATAAATATGTGTAAACCAGGCAGTCCAATCATTTGATCATTTGAAACTACACTTTCTAGTTTTATATTGCTTAAAAGTATAGTTTCCTCAAATGATTGGGGTGGCCGAAGATTAGTCTTTTGGCGGTAAGGCCACCATTGGTCACCCCCTGGCTCCACCATTGCACCTGGTGGTGGATAAAATTGCACCCTCCACTCTCCAGGATCTGTCACTTGGCACTGCCTCAGACAAACAAAAATAAAATAAAAACCTACCTGTTCTTCTCCACAGTGTAACTACAACCCACTTGAATGTATTGCAACAAAAACATTATTTCATTCTCTGTTCTATTGCAGTCCAGAAAAACACTCATCCTGAAAACAACAAACATTCACTATTCAAATCCCTCAGTGATGAAGGACATTGATGTTCTGCTTGTTTATACATTTTTCACAATGATGCTGAAAATCAAGACTAACTTTTTATTTTGATCACAAGTGTTGAGATTTGTTTTTACATTTAACAGTCAAAGAGTCAGTATTCATGTTTATAGCAGTGATTTATAGTAGAGGACAGATTGTAGACGTTATAGACATAATTTACCAAGAGCAGCTTGTTTTGGCCACTGTAAGCAGGTTCATGGATACATACAGTGTATGTATGGGACATGAACCTTCTTTAAGAGTCCGTTTTATATTTGGACCTTCTGTTTTTTAGAGCTGCGTTTCCATTTCGAAAGAAACAAAAAGGAAAAATCTATCTACTTCTTTTTGCCATCAGCTCCACAACTTACACACTTGAAAAATTATACTAAAGCACAGTACCAGATACATTTAGTTAGAATTCAAGTAACTGGCGGAAGCGAAAAGTCACAAATTACTTTCACTTACGTTACTGTAATTCAGCATTATTTTTGTACATTGTACTTTTGCAGTTAGTATTTTCAGTATCTGTACTCATATCTGAGTGTTTTATTTTAAGTATTGTACATATTATTGTAGAAGTTCAAGTAAAACTAATGAAATAAATAAATAAACTCATGTAAATCCTGCCCATGTTCAAAGACATCATGGCTCTAAGTTAAAGGAAGAAAGCTGCTTAATTCTGCTGTTAAATGTGTGAACTCAGAGACAATCAGACCTGCAGCCTGTGGTGGGGAGTAAAAAACACATTTGTTTTGTGACTTAAAACAAGGTGTTCATGGTTTTATAAGAAACTTTGTGAAAATTGTTGTAGTTGTAGCAACTACAGGGAAATTAAGCTGATGAGCTACACCATGAAGATCTGGGAGAGAGTTGTAAAGGACTTTTAGACGAGAGGTGACTGTGAGCAGCAGTATAGTTTCATGCAGAGAAAGAGCAGCACAGATGCCATCTTTGTTTTGAGGATACTGATGGAGAAGTACAGAGAGGGTCAGAAAGAACTCCATTGTGTATTTGTGGATTTAGAAAACATTTGATGGGGTGCTGAGTGGTGGCGCAGTGGTTAGAGAAGGTGGGCCTGTGATCGGAAGATCACTGGTTCAACTCCTGGTACCAAAAACAAGAGTGTCAGCGGAAAAGTTTACAAGAGAGTGGTGAGACCAGCTATGTTGTATGGTCTGGAGACAGAGACATGGACAAAAAGACAGAAGAAAGAACTGGAATAAGATTAGGAATGAGATCATCAGAGGTACAGCACAGGTTGAACAACTGGGAGATAAAGTTAGAGAGGCCAGACTGAGGTGGTTTGGACATGTCCAGAGGAGGGACAGTGGGTATACTGGTAGAAGGATGTTAGAAATGCAGCTGCCAGGAAAAAGACAAAGAGGAGATATATGGATGCAGTTAGAGAGGACATGGAGGTAGTGAAGGAATGAGGACAAAGAACAGAGTTAGATGGAGGAAAATGACTCTGTGGAGACTCCTTAAGAGGGAAAAGCTGAAAGAAGAAGAAGAAGAAGAAACCATAGGAATTGTGTGATTTAATCTTTTTTTTCAATCTGTTTACACTGTGACTTCTCAACAGTTATAAAATTGAAACAGTAACCAGCCCATGCCTACAAAGTAATATAAACATTTTACTTGTTTCAGATAAGTTGCTCATATGATTTTTTAAAAATTATTATTATTTTTCAGCACGGAGGAAATCCAACTGTGTAAAGGAAGTGGAGAAACTGCAGGAAAAACGAGAAAAGAGACGACTTCAGCAGCAAGAGCTCAGAGAGAAGAAGGCTCAAGTGAGGATAAAACACTTTTTTTTCCTCTAAACAAACCCTACTTCATATTTACTTATAAGTATTAAGATTCTGTGCAGCAAAGCTGAAAATCAACCTTTTAGGAGTATATCTGGATGGATGGCTGTGCTTGGCTTCAGGGATTAACTGGTGACCCATGCTAAGGGTACTGTTGGACAGTACAAGAAACACTTTGAGGATTTCCTTAATCCAGTCATCACATCCAACTTTAGGGAGGAAAAGTCTGAGGACTCTGCGGAATGTGAATCCCTTACCATGCCAGAGGTCTCTGAGCTAGTTGAATAGCTCCCTAAAGGAAGGGCACCAGGTCTGCCATGGGTTATTGAAGGCTCTGGACATTATGGGGATTTGACTGATACGTTCCTTCAATGTTGCATGGAGTGCCAGGACACATCTGCAAAGAGACGGACTGAGGTGATGGTCTTCAGTTTTTAATAAAGGGGGACCGAAGAGTGTGCTTCAGCTAGGGTTGCAAAGGGGCAGAACATTTTCTTTAAATTTCTAGAAACTGAGAAGTTAAGCTGGGGAATATTAGAAATTGGAAACTTTCTCACAATTAATCTAAAATACACTCCAACAAATCTGAACAACTGAAAATGATCACTGATTCAGCTCTTATTTTTTATTTACTTTTTGATATTTTTACTCAATCATCGTGTTAAGGAGACATGCATTGCTATTTGATGAATGGATGAATGTTTCCTGTTTGTTCATGGTTCACACAACGAACATCTGGTTGTACAGTAGTCCCTCGTTTATCGCGGGGGCTCCATACCCTGAAGCCCAGCGATAAGTGAAAAACCACGACATAGGAGTACAAGTAGTAAGTGGTAGTTTATTTTAATACAGTATATATAAGGAGTAGCAAACCCTTCCCACACTCTT